CCCCCCCCCCCCCCCCCCCCGTGAAGCATCTTGCATCCTAGGTGAGATTGGCCCCCACTGTTCTGGCCTTCTGGAAGAGCGTTAAGATCTGTCTCTGTCACCAAGCATGGGGACTCAGTGGGGTTCACAGTACTGGGGGTGATTGGTGGTTTGAGGATGCTCTTTCTTTTAGTTTTTGTATATTTTTGTTATTGTATATTTAAAGATTTTTATCATTTTTTATCACTTTTTTACTTGTAAGCCACTTAGAGTCCCTTATACAGTGAGATGGGTGGCATATAAATGTGATTAATAAAATAAAATAATATGCAACCTAGCTCACATGCTTTTGATAAAACTCTTGTAAAACTAAAAGCTGAAGCCCAAATGGATAGGTAGAAACGAGAGAGAGACTAGAGGAAATAAAATGTCAAATTTGGCAACCAAGAACAACCAGGATATGCTCAGGAGGTGAGCAGGTTTTCAATATAAAAACATGTGGTCATTCCTTATGAGGGCTTTGCACCTTAGACTTTTGGGCTGTCAGGCACAAAAGGAAAAGTTTTACCAAAACCAAAATACCCCAGAGGACAGAGATAACAGAAGTCAAACCACAAAGAGCAAAAAGCCACCGTATTTAGCAGTAGAACAAAAAGCAATGAACGTGAAACTGATGACCATGAAGGAAAAGAGGAACAGAGGTGTTGAGAACAAGCGGCAGGAAATTAGAGTCGCATACAAGTCACAAAGATGTATCAGTTGGGCCAGCCAAAGGGTCAGTAGCAGATTGAGTAGGTTATAGATTCATACGGGGAGGCCAAAGTTAAAGCAAGCAAACACATAGTCTTATGCTCCTCAGAAAATGAATAATAGAACAGGCTCTTAAGGCTAGGGGTTTCTGATAGTATGACCAAAACTAGTCAGTATTCCAGGTGGGATCTCACCATAAGATTATATAAGGACATCACTGTATTTTGATGGTTTTTTTGTATTGGGGATTTTACTCTCTGAGCCGCCTGGCATCACTGCTGAATAAATTTGGTGAATGAATAAATAAATCCATTCTCTAATTGTTCCTGAAATGGAATTTACTTTTTTTTCTTAATAGATGCCATGTGTTAGGCTGGCATCACTGAATTATAATACTGCATGATGTTTAATACTGTTGTCTTTCTATGTAATTGAATAGAAATATTTTTTAGGCACATGCATTTTTCCAAATGATCCTGTTTAGCTTTTTGTTTTTTTAATGGGACTATTTTGTGGACAGTTAAAATGGTTGATAATTATTTAATGAAAGAAGTTTCTTCATTGAACGTGTCCTTTTTGGAACTTTATGGTAAGTTTGTTGTGGTAACTGCTGATATATGTCTATTTTCCTTTATCCAGGGGTGATGACCTTCTTGTAGGTAGGAGCCATTTAAAAAAATTGAGTCACTGAGTAGAATAATGATGTTAGATGTTTCTGACAGGGCCAAGATGTTGTTGTTGATACTTTTTTTTAAAAAAGTTTGGGCAAGTTTTTTTTTTTTTTAAGCAGTATATTAAGCATATTGGTGGTTTAATGCACTTACTTCCTTAGGTTTCTAACCAAAACTTAGAAAGAAATTATGTTCCCATTGTTCAGCAGTTTACTAACTATTTTTAGCAGAAATTTCCATCTGAAAAAAATAGGGAAATGGGATAGATGATAATAAAATTATGAATTAAATATATCAATATGTTGCATGTTTCAGGTTTACTGAATGCAAGATATGGCAAAGGTTGGACAGAACATCGCAAATTAGCTGTAACTAGCTTTCGAAATTTTGGATATAGTCAAAAGTCCTTTGAAAGCAAAATATCAGAAGAAACGGGTTTTTTTCTTGATGTTATTGATACTTACAAAGGCAAGGCTTTTGATCTAAAGTACTTGATAACAAATGCAGTTTCAAACATTACTAACTTAATTATTTTTGGAGAACGATTTACATATGAAGACACTGAATTTCAGCACATGATAGAAATATTCAGTGAAAATATTGAATTGGCTGCTAGTGCTTCTGTATTTTTATACAATGCTTTCCCATGGATTGGTAATTTGCCCTTTGGAAAACATCAACAACTTTTTAAAAATGCTGCTGAAGTTTATACTTTTTTACTCCACCTTATTCAGCGTTTCTCACAGAATAGGAAACCTTATTCACCTCGACATTTTGTAGATGCATATTTAGATGAAATGGATAGAAATAAAAATGATCCTGAATCTGTATTTTCAATGGAAAACTTAATTTTTTCTGTTGGAGAACTCATAATTGCTGGAACAGAAACTACAACAAATGTCCTAAGATGGGCAGTCTTGTTCATGGCTCTTTATCCTAATATTCAAGGTAAGTAACCTGCAATTGTGGTGACACTGTGCTGTTATGATTAAAAGTGTGCTTTCCAAGCAGTGCATTGTAATGATAATTGAAAACATCATTTTTCTACTACATCATTTAATGCAATTTATAACCGTACTATATCCCACATTCAATTATTCTTTAAAGATTTGGGTTTCTTTTTTTCTGAAACTTCTGAGATTTGGTTGATATATTAAAACAGTGGCATGTCAAATTATTGTGCTGGGGAGGTTATTTTGATGAGAAAATCAGGCTTCTTTGGCCAAGTATTATTCAGTCCCCACTAGTATTTTGGGAAATAAATTGCAATCAATATTATAATTATTTGGCATGAATTATTGGCCTTGTATGCTGAACTTGAAATATTTAATATATATCTTCTTGCCTCACCTTCACCTTTAGCAAAACAAATCTTGACATATACAAAATAGGTGCAAATTGGCCATGTAGGCAATTTTGTACTGCTTTCTTAATATGCTAAGAAGAATGTATAGAATGTATGATTATAAAATGAATAACAGTTCATGAAATATCAAACTTGTTTAAGAGATCATGAGGTATTTAAAATATAAAAATAACTGTGACTGTTACAAGAGTGCAGGTGATATGTTGCCAGATAGTTTTACTTGTAGGACTTAAAAACTGTTGAACACCTAACACAAGATCCTTTTAGGATTGTTTACCTTGGGTGGGGGGAAGTATTTGTGGATATAAGCCATGCCATGAATTTTGTTTTTACATTACTAGACAACATAATCATATTTATAGACAAAGTTGCCTAGGGACTTCTGTGATGTAAACCATTACTATATGAAAGTTTGAAGCAGTGGTTTCTTTTAAACAAAGTTTTTTATAATAAAAAATACAGTTTGCATATATTTGTGAAGTAGTAAGAAATTGCTTTTTAAAATATTGTCTGTGTTGAAACTTCTGTTAATAAATAAAAGAATCAAAATAATGAGATAGAAAGAGGTGCACTGAACTGACACCATGGGGTTAGTACTGTATTAAACAGAATGACATTTAACCAAGTAATATGAGAATGATTGTTGTGTCATTCCCATGATAAAACATGGATGAGCTTACAGTTCCTTGTGCAATAATTACTTAGTGTAGGAATTGGAAGAAAGCTCATAGCTTGATGACACAACACATACTTTGTACTTAAAACATCCCAGGGGATACTCCACAGTTACAAGTACTTTAGTTAAAAGTATCAGGGAGCAGATGATGGGAAAGATCAGACCTAGAGTTCCAACACTATCAGTGCAAAAACACAAAACAAGTCTGGAGTCTTCAACATTTCTTAATTTTGAGCCATTTCTCAGATGCATGATTATGTTCTAGGTTGATTGCATAGTGTACATACAACTTATATACATACCTAGATAGAGAGAAACAGCTTTAAAAGTACCAGGAACAGCAGTCACACAGTTCTTTGTAGCCCACAAGTGTTCAAGTGACAATGTAAAAAAAAAAAACTTTGTAAATCATACACTGAAGTTTCATATTTAAGTACAAATGTTACGGTGTACACATAATGTGCATCTTACCTACGGTCTAAAAGTTTTCTTTCTTAACAGGACAAGTGCATAAAGAAATTGACTTAGTCATTGGACCCAGCAAAACCTCATGCCTAGAAGATAAGTGTAAAATGCCATATACAGAGGCAGTGCTACATGAAATTTTAAGATTCTGTAATATAGTGCCATTAGGTATTTTTCGTGCAACTTCTAAGGATACAGTTGTCCGTGGTTATTCGATCCCTCAAGGCACTACTGTAATCACAAATCTCTATTCTGTGCATTTTGATGAAAAATACTGGAGTAACCCTGAAATGTTTTGTCCTGAGAGATTTTTGGACAACTCAGGACAGTTTGTCAAGAAAGAAGCATTTATTCCCTTTTCATTAGGTAAGCATAAAAATGTGTCCATAAATCTAGGTGTGATAAACTTATGAATAAAGACATAATAAGTATGATATAATACATAACAATAAAATACTTTAAATATTCTGCTTTGATCAATAACTTTCTTTAAATGGTCGTTTTTATTATTAACCTTTTTTGGAAGTCAGTATAAGAACTCACAGGTGGTGGCAATGCCTAACTCAGTGTTGTCCAAACTTTCTGTAT